AACATTTTTATTTCAGGTGGAACTGTTCAAATCTTTTTTTAGTGGCATTTTTTAAAGGCAGCATTTTCTAAAATGAGAAAAAAACCTAAATTTCAAAATAACAAATGGCAACATCAAGTGTCTTAACAGAAATAACATGACTGGTACTAATGTGATGCCAGTGAGCTTGACACAAGAAAATATTGATTGCAGCAAACACTATGAAATGTAATTTCTGGTATCTCAGTCGTATTTTAGGAGATCTTCATGCAGAGAAAAACCAATTCAGTAGCTTTAGACCTGGTCTATAATTAAATTACAATGTTAGTTTAAAGGTCTGACTGATCCACATTGGTCACAAATTTTTCTCTCTATTTTAGTAAGTTAAGGCCTCTAGAGCTCAGCTTTTTCCAGGATGCGACAACCTGGCCTGTCACCATCAGCACTAGGAGCATCACTCAGGCCAGGAGGCAGCATCTGAGAGCCCTTCAGCTCAGCCAAATTCTGCTCAGAGCAAATCTTCCACAACACTGGTGCTGATACAAGAGCATGGGATGTTCTGAAGTGAAATGTTAATTCCGGGTTTGATTTATTCCTTGCTCAAAGGCTGAAGGATTTGTAAACAGCTGGGCAGTTGCAGGTAGGTCTTCCAGAAGATTTAGACCTCTCTCACACACTCATCTCCATTATTGCCTTGTCTGTAAAATAATGTATCTATCACTAGAACTTTGTATTGAAATCTCACCATATTTCAAATGGGAGACAGAGGAAGCCAAAGTAACTCAGCAGATGTTGCTAGATGCTTTAAAATCTACATTTAAGATCTCCCCAAGGACCTGTTAAATTGAACAACCTTTTAACTGTTACTCATATTGAGTAGTACGAGCAAGCACATCATTGTTCGGTGTCTTTATTGATGTACCTGCACTATGTTCAGCAATCCCATAAATCTGTTATTGCTGGGAACAGCTGTGGAGCAGACTGATAGGCTGGGAAACGAGCACACAGATGGTAATGCTGAATAACCAGCTGCAGGCTGGTCCCAGCCAGAGCTCTTACACCTTGGAATACACACACCATCAGAACACTTAGGGATCAGCAACAGTGGAGAGTGAGAGCACTTCTTGAGGTAGCAAAGGATTATTTGGTATTATCAGGCTATTGCTGAGCTTAGGAGTTTCTGAAAAAAAGTCACAATCAGGTGTACAACACTCTACATATCCCTGTGGAGAAGGCAGATGGCCATACACAGGCCTGGGCTTAATGAGTGACATGGGCCAGGGCAAGGTAGGGTAAACAGCACAAAGAGTGGAAGGAGGTTATCAGAATCTGGGAAGGAAGTGAAAAAGGAGCAGCCTGGCAGGGAAAGCTTTCCATGGAAAGACCAACGATATCATGTGCCATCTGGAGGCTTAAACCAGAAATGAACAGGATACTTCCCTTCTGGAGTGACAACAATCACCTTTTAGGTAAATACATACCTTAATCAGAGCTGATGTTAGACCATTATCAAAAAGCCCATTTTCCTGCTGATAGCATATTCCTGACTCTGGAAGCACCACATCAAAAATCTGCCAGACAAAAAAATAAAACAAGCCTAGTCTCCCTAGGCTAGAGAGATCCTAGAGAGGATCCATGATTTCCTGACAATCCTGCCCTGTAGTGAAACAAGGGCAAGAGTGTGTGAAGAGCGCTCTATCCCTCACACACTGAGCACACCGCTCTTGTGCATCCCTAGAAATCTTGTCAGCATTATTAATATACCAGGAATGTCCATGAGACACCAGCCCTACACTTAGAACATTGCTCCAAACAATCTGGCTTTTCTCTGATTACTTGGAAAGCTGGAGATAAAATGTGAATTCAAGTAACTTGGGATCAAACTGGACTCTTAGTGAAAGGGGAGTTTTTTGCTAGTTTTGCTTCTGGCTGTCAGGAAATTATGTATATTAATTTAAAATGAAATAAACCCAGGGAAAGCAACTTGAATGAATAAAGGAGGTTCTGCTGAGTAACAGGGACCAAGAAGAACAGGCTTGGAATCATAATCTTTTTCTTCAGATCTTAGAAATAGCTTGAGAAGGGCTCCCAGCTTCTCCCCAACATGAGATGTACTAACAGCTCCTTCCCTTCAGCCAACAATACCAGCAGGATGCAGCTCCTCCTGCTGCTTCCAGCTCAGGTTTTCTGCTTCATTTCTGCTGCTTCTCCCTCACACGCAGAAGGCTGGAACAGGCAAGGGGTTTGCTGAGTCCAAGGGTAATGAACATGGAATGAAACATAAGCCTGGAGAGAGGCACTGTTTGGTACCAACATCAAAAACACTTCTGCAAAGTGCTGAAAATGGAAGTTTGCAGGCAGAGGTTTTTCAACACCACAAGCTCTTACGTGAAGAGCTGGAAGGGACTCCCTGAAGCAGTGCCACAGTAAAAGAAGAAAGGAAGTACAGTAACTTCTCTGGTGAGTACAGGAAGTGGAGAACACTGTACCTGCCCACCTCAGAAGCAAGTAAACTGCTGATCTTCACTTGCCCCTCATTCCAGCCCTTGACCATAGTGATTGCATCTGCATTTTTTAATTAGTTTTTACCAGAACACCCAGGAGCTGTTAAGAAGACCTCAGCTTTTGCTTTTTGCTTCAGAATAACACACTGTGCGAAGTTTTCAGGTGTTTTTCCCTCCCAAGCCACCATTTCTGACCCTCATCCACAAATACACCCACATGTTCATCTCCAAACTCTTATCTGCTCCCTGATAACACCCAGCCAGGAAGGGCATGCAAGGGCAGCATCAATGCATCCCATTTATGAAGCCAAAAACAGGACAGAAACATTACATCCTCTCCTCTCTGACCTTCGTCTCTAATCTCCAAGGCAGTAAAACTAACATATGACAAGACCAGGTACAGAATGTGATTTCCAGATATTCAGGTTCAGCTCCAACTACACAAACAGGCTAAGGCTCCAAATGACAGCCCCGAACATGGCTTTCCTGAAGTTCTAATATCACAAGGATAAGACCACCATCATGTGGCTGGCACATGATCCCACTGAACAATGACAAACCAATCACACTTGGCTCTTTCCATCTCACCGTGCAGTCGTTCCAGAAGACACAGCAGTTGCCACAGAGAATCACAAGACTTTAGTTTAGTGCAAGCACCTTGTGATGAACTGGAGAGCTGCTGAGCACCAGTATCACCCTCCAGGCATGTGATCCTCCTTGGGAGTGATTCAGATGGCAGCCAGGAATGGCAACTAAGAATTTTAGGAGAAAGGCACTTAACTGAGATAATTTTCTATGCCATCTACAGGCAGGTAGGTAATTCAGCAGCCAGCTGTAACATTACAAAGATATTTCTGTATCCCCTTCTATGACCACCTCCAGACAATGCAATGTCTTCAAAAGATGAGAAAGTGGTCACTTGTTTCTCTGGAAGCAAGTAAGTCTTAGAAACACTGGTCCTCCCCCTCAAGGCTTTTTCAGCAAATGGAAATCTTTGATGGACCTTGGATGATGGTCCCATTTCATTACCTGATATCAAGCTCTTCATTTAGAGAAGCTACCAACTGCCAGGACACTTTAACATCATAGCCAGGGTCTGCAAGGGAAGTTTGAATGACAGATGAACAACATGCCAGGGAGCTCAGTTACTGCAGTACACAACTGACTCAAGTGCCACCCCAGAGGATGGGAACCCACTTTCCATTTTTAAAGCCCTTCTAAATGAAATGGGTATTTTACCAATTAATTTTATTCAAAACAAAATCCCAACAAAGAAAAATAAGACCAGAAGTGCTCTAGGATGATGCTTTTTAATTGTTATTTTTATATTTTTAAGAACAAATCAAACCATTAAAAATATTACAGACATGTACTGAAATTTCCTGTACAACAAATATGAAAACAATAAAATTTGTACATCATTTCAAGATATTCAACAGTCACTTATTTGAAAGACTTTTCCCTTCTTAAGCAGGTCCCAAATGGGAAGAAAGGGTAAAACAGAAATGCAAGAGATGCAGTTGTCACACAGTGGAGCTTTCAGTGGACAGCTTTAAATAAGCAACAGTGAGAGAAAACACTGACCAAAGAGAAAGATCTCAGCAATTATAACACAGAGAACATCAGAGGGCAGGGAGAAAACATTTGCAGGATTTCGAGTCATCTTTATCAAGATATATCCACAAGGTAGTGGAGCATTACCAGTAGTCCTTTTCCTGCAGAGACATCCTATAAGGAATGTCCTACTTATTCACACTGACACTATGCCCAATTTTATGTTTACAACAGTTTAAACCTTACTAACCTTTTCCACCCATGCACAGAATCAAGAGATCATTTATTTCAGCCTTGAGTCTCTTCTCACAATGCATCAGCTTTGGAAAAACACCTGCTTACAGTTCTTAAAAAATGGATACTCCTTAGATGATGGCACACGAGAGAATTTGATGTCTGCTTCCAACACCAAAATAATGGGACAGATCCATTTGTTTTCTGTAAGAGGGTCTGGGCAGTGGTTAGGCAGAAACACATACTGTCCTAGCTCATTTTCTGATGTTCTGCTGCAACAGAATAGAAACAACATCATCTAGCATGGAAGACTCATCTCCCTCTCCTCTATGCTATATAAAACAAGGGCCTTCTGAAGCAAAAGAGCACTTGCCTCCCTAAGGCAGCAAGTTCTTGGGAGACCTGGAATAAAGAATACTGGCTCTGTGCTCTGCACAGATGTGCAGTAATTAAGAGAGTTAAAGAAAATAACATGACTGTAAAGGGCAGACTTTCCTCCCTCCCAGTTCTTTTGGAATGGTTCTGTTTGGTGCAAGTGGTTTATCTTTGTCATCTGACAGCAGCTTAGGAAGAATGCAAATGAGAGATCCACTTTGTGGGCTGCTAGTTTGGATGGAGCTGGGCAGGATCATGAACCTCATTATGAGGGTTTTTTAAAGTATTTCCAGAGAAAGAGAAACAAAATTATATTCAAGAACCCACAAGTGGCTGCTACAAAAAAAAATCAAAAACAAACAACAGCAAACCAAAAACTCAAAAAATAAACAACAAAACCAAACCCCAAAACCTAACAACCAAAAGTGCACTGTGCTTTGTCCTCCAGTTTTGCTCGCACAGCACACCAAAGTTTCACACCAGGTTGTAAAAAAATTCCTCAGGATATTTGTAAAGTTACAGTTGTTACAGTAAAGTTACAGGAATTCCTATGTTCTCCTTTAGCTGACATTGGATCCTGTGAGGTTGCCAGGTTCCACTGTAAAGCCACATATACTCCTAGCATCTTCAGCTTTTTCTGACAACTCTACTAAAACAAAGAAAAACCCCCAAAACAACAACAACAAAAAAGCAGCAGAATTCCAGGGACTCTGGTTATTAAACCTTCATAAGATTTTTTTCCCTGCTTTATAGCTATTCTATAGCATTATTCATAAACTTCATATTCAACTGCAATGCAACCAGTGCAATGATCCAAAGACCAAAATAAGACACCCTCCCCTCACCCCAATCTACCTAAGTCCTTCATTGGTAATGCCTTCCTAAGTCTAACAGTTATGTACCAGCAAAATAAATCCAGTCTGATCCTTGACTTGTGAAATCAGCCAACGGGGGATTTCTGCTTGTTCCTTCAGTTTCTAAAAGGACCAGTCAAAACAAAAGCAGCAGTATATTGCAAATAATTACAAAACAATTACACTGGATAAGTGAGATGCAGGCAGGTATGATGTGTCTCAGTTTTGAATGGCTAAAACAACCAAGAAATTTGTCCTTACAGCAGAAATTTTGTGCAATGTCTTTTGGTAGAAACAGTAAAGCCAGCTGATCCGTTTGGGAGTGCTCGAACACTTGGAACCTTAGTTTCAGCATTTTCACAGATTTATATATTTGAGGAAAAACAACAACAATGATAAAAAGACACCAACCTGAGAAAAACTCTATTAGAGTGAGAATTATTCAGTAAATCATATATTGCACCTTTAAATAAATCATTATAAATTGTATAAAAACAGGAATATCAGCCAGGAACAGGGAGGAGCTATTCTGTCCTTCATCCACACCCCCACACACACATTCACAGATTCATTTGCTCTCTTTTTAACTACAGTTAAAGCTCGGAGTGACAGACCACACTCCTCTTCCTCTGGCAGAGGCACCGAAACATTAAGGCAGGGGATATTTGTGGTGAAATGCAAAAACAAAGCTCACCTCCAAATTTCTGGAGAGTCCTGCCAACAGTGCAACTACAGTTAAGTTTGACATAAGCCTTATTCAAAAAATCTGTGTTCTCATTAAGAGTTTCAGTACAAAAATAAAATCTCTGCTGTTTTTTTTTTTCTAGAGTAGCAACTAGAAAAGGCACAATTTCCAAGTATAAATGTCCATTTGAAGGAGCCATTTGTACTCCTTTTTTAAATAAAAAGGAAGACAGAAAAAAAATATATCACAGAGGCACATATCTATTAACTAAGTAACCAGATACAGTAGATAAAATATCTTCCTGAAACTTATAATTAAATATATCAAAACAGCCCACCAGCCTGGTGTCTGTAAATTAAATCATATAAAATTGCAATAAAAAGCTTGTGTTATTATTTTAATATTTAAATCCTAGTTCACTGTTCATACTGCAAATGCTATTTCACCTATCAGTACTGTTAAATTCCCAAGGAAAAAAAAAGATTCCTCTGTTAACTTAAAGTTTCACTTGGGTTCTGTTGTTTGGGTTTTGTTTAACATCAGTCTGCAACTCCTGCCAGCATTGTGTTTCTCCTCCTGTAGATCACACCTCTGAATGCAGACAGAACTGGAGGAGCCAGACATGAGACACTGCGCACAATCCCAGAAAACACGAGTTGGACACCTTCCTTTGCTGAGGGCAGGTAACACCTCCTGGAGGCACTGGGTTCCTTCTGGACTATGCGTGGTAGCCATTGGCCTTCCCAAAGGCTGGCCCAGGTGTGAAGTTTTCATAGATTGCCATTGCTGTCACATTCTGGTAGATAAGGTCAGTTTTCCTCTCTCTCTGGGATTTAATGATATCCATGACACACTGGTTTAGGAAGACGTACTGGTCCTGATGAGAGAAAGAGAGAAGGAAATACATTTCTGAAAAATACCTGATTTTGGAAGTAAGTCTGCTTCTGAATATAGGTTTGGGCATTTCACTACCACAGTGCTTGTTTTAGAACTTGTATGTACAGTCTATAGAAAACAGCTGCAAAGATCATGATCTGATCAACACCCCCAATAAAAAAACAGTATCAAGTCTTGCTGTCTAGAACTAGAATCAGTCATGCGTAATGCTATCCTAAAAGACTTCCATGATTACAGTCTTTTTCAAATCAGCTTGAGTTAGTCCATATATCTTTCTGTATCAAGGTGGTAATTTCTGTAGGAATACTTGTATTCCTGCAGAACACAAAAGCAAAGATGCACACCAAAACCACCTGACTCCAGATAATTCTGGCTCACAGCTAAAAGCTAAAACCCACATGGGTAAAACTGGTCTGCAAAAATATCTGCTTCAGGATTTGATTCCTTCCAGCTCCAAATGCCAGTCCCATAAATGCTCTGTAAAGACATTGCTTGGATGTACTGTGGTCGCTGGCTGCAACCACTTTTGTGGGGAAGAGATGAGGCAGGAAGGAGGGAGGGAGGGTAAATGAAGAGCAATTGTAACTCCCTAATATCTTATTGTCCTGTAATTCAGAGCTACATGTGGACGATTATGTGCATCTGAGAAACGTGCAGCAGGATGGGAGAGAGCCTCACCTCAGTCTGCACCATGAGGGGTCGGTGCATGCGGAGGTCGTACACCACCCCATAGACATCCACCGTGTTTTCCATCTCCATCTGCTGGATCAGGCGGTCGATGGCGATGAACGTCCCCGTCCTACCGACGCCAGCGCTGCAATGACACGGACAGGCGGTTTGTGCTTCCTCTCAACCACCTGCTCACTGCTGGCCTGGTAAAAAGCCAGGGAAGCCAGGGTGATGCCTCCTACTATTTCAGTGGCACAGGTAATAAGAGTCTTGGCAGCACAGAGGGGTGGCTCTTATCACCACCAAGAGGGGCTTCTCAGCCTTGCAAGTGCAAAGGATTATAGATACAAGCTCTTGAAAGGACATCTTTTCCAGCTCAGTTTTCCAGGCTAGGAGAGATGCTCTGTTCTTGTGACATTTTGTGTCACTACCTACACAGCACTGCTACTTTCAGAAGCACCAAAGGTTTTATTTTGGCAAGGCAAATAGCCCATGTCTTTACATAGAGAGAGACTTACTTTGGTTTTAATCCCACTAAAATAGAATTGACCGGAAAAAAAAAACCACAAGACTGTTGGAGTCTGAGATACAGAGTGTGTGCCCCTGTTCCTAATACTTAGTTCTAGAATTCAAAGAAACACTGAATTTCATATAATATGAAATTATGTTAAAGTTAGATAGGAAAAGTGTAAGTGTGTAGATTAGAAAGTTTTTTAAATCACTGGGTGAAAAAGTTAGTTTAGAGAACAGGAGACAAGATGGAGGATTTAGGGTGTTGTCTCTTGTCCTTCTTTCTTCTTCATGTTTTTCTCCTAGGGGTTTTTGGGTAGCTGTAAGTGAATTGGATAGAAAATACCGTAGTGCAGCACAAAGGTGTTGGGTCATTGGGTCACTAAGAAAAATAATTTAGTTGGCATCTGTTAATTGGATAAATGGACATATAAAAGACCTTGAAGAGGATCTTTGTTAGCCATTTTACCCTTTTCTATCATAGTGCACATAGCTCCTTGTACCTTGTAATGCTGATAAGAAAAGAATAAACAACTGAGACCGAACAAGAGAAAACTGCCTCCCTCTCGTCAATCTTCATTTCAAAGGGAAAAAGAACCTAATCCAAAAGTCCTTAATGAAACACAAGACCAAAGTGTGGCTAACAGAAATACGCTCTTTCTACCTGCAGTGCACCAGAGTAGGAGAGTCCATTGGATTCTGGCTGTTGTACTCATGAACAAGGTGCCTGAAGTTGATGAGAAGGTCTGTTGTCTCCGGCACTCCGTGATCCGGCCAGGAGGTGAAATGGAACTGGCGCACTGTGTGGCTCTCAGGGGTGTTGGACTGCAGGAATAGTAGACAAAGAAAAACACAAAAAAGGACAATGAAAACTGGCTTCAGAGGACTAACAGTTTGACTTCCTGGCACATGTACTAGGCCAAGCTCAGTTTCATCAAAGATGCTACAAACTGTGCAGCGATTTGACCAATGATATTCCAGGTTCCCTCCTCCTTCTGCTGAGGTACAGACTAATTTGAGGTAATTTCCTTGGACTTTTACTTTACTCCAAGCTCACATCTGCATTGTGTTCACTGATGGGGCTAATTGTTCAGTCCAGAAAACAATACAGGCATCTGCATAAGCACACAGTTATTTACACACCAACAACCAACAATCAAGGCAGTCCTCACCTTTTCTACAGTGAAGTCCCTTATCGTCCATTCTGGAAGGACAACTTCTGAGACCATTGTCACAACAATGTCACCATAGCTCTTGGGTTGTTTGTCTGGCCAGTACTGCTCACATTTTGTCTAAGAAGAGTGTTACAAAGTTAGACATATCACACACAGCAATGAAACAACCCACTTTTAAATAACACATCACCTGAAGCAGGGCTAGCAAGCACATCACTGTTCTCAAGGGCTATTCCAGGGCAAGAGAAGATCTACCATAATCATTCTTTAGAGAGAAGAATGCACCCTAAAAAACAGTGATTCCACAACCCTCCTGAGACAATCTATTCTGGTAGCTAGCAGACAAAAATAGAAAAAAGCTTAAAAAAAGAAATTTAAAAAATGTATTTTTTTAAATTTAGAAACTAGTCTTCCACCTAGAGGACGGTTGTAATTAGGAAGTGGCCAATTTTCAAACCACTAAGGTAACAAAAAAATTAGAAGAGATGCAGCTGCCTTCAAGAGACAATTCAGTATTGATAGCAACATACCCGGGCTTGTTCCACACATTTTGTCAACATAACAATAGAGTAGATATTCTTTTCCCAAATCATTTGCCAGAAGTCTTCTATAGTATTGGGTAACGGACCCTGTGCAGCAATAAATGCCTTCTTTGAGTTATAGCCCTAAGAAAAAAAAGACAAAATAAATATATATACACACATCTGTGAGAAATAAAGGCTGACTTTAAACATGATTATGCCTAAATCAGAAAAATGCACATTATATTTAATTTCAGTTAATAAAGCAACTTACAGGCATATAGTTTGCATTAATATAATCACCAGTTCCAGGGCTTTGATTTGAAAGTTTAACACGAGAAATATCATCTGCAGAAAGAAAAAATGAAAAGACAATTATGAATTTTAGAACTGGAAATGTTCAGCAAAATATTGTTGCAATATCTAATGCATGGTTTCTAAATAAAAGGTGCTCTAGAACAATCTGCATTTTAAGAATAAGAATATAACTCAGGAGTCATAAAAAGCAGTAGCCTTCAGAAAAAGGAGTGGCCAGGATAAGCACTCGAAAACCACAGATTATTTTGGTTTTACACATGTTATGGTTTTGCCTATTTATATATTTTCAATCCAACACAAAATTTACTGGTGTTTTAATTATGGGATATAAAGAAAGTGATTTGTCTCCTGCTGCCATGGCAGCTGATCTTTTTCCTCCAAAGCATCCGTAAGTACCTGTCACTGTTCACTTTTCAATTACTTCTGACACTCTGCTAGATTGGGATTCCCACAAGCAGCTTGACAGGGCTTAAACTCTTACTTCATCTGCAAAGCTGGCCAGCAGGGTCTTAGTATTTCTCATAGCTCTGCACTTTCATTTGTCTGTGGTCAACTGTTATCCTCTTGTGTTTTCAACCTGGATTGAAATTTCTCACAAATGAGAAATTAAGGTTATTTAGTTAAGGAAAAGTTCTTTAAAGAAGCTTTCTGAAGAAATATCCTTGAGGGAAGGCTCTTTCAGGTTTACTTATACAGCGACTTTGGGAAAGCAGCCCAAATTCATTCATCTGGAAAATGATATTTGAAACCTCTGAGTACTATTAAAGCCAGATTAGCAAAACCCAATGGTTTTCACTTAAAAACTCAAACAGTAGAAGATGCAAACCCAAAGAGAGTAACTCACATGGTAAGACATTGTTGTATCTATTTTTTCCCCTGTTCTCAGGAAGTTCAGCAGCAAATTTGGGCTGATGAACACCAGCAGACTTGAGCTCCTACAACAAAAGGAGGATTCATGAGCACCTGGTCCTGATTTAGCAATCATACAGAAACGTGACACACAGAAAATAGTCCAAACACTTGAGTCCTGTGCTGTAAAAGTAGTGATGTTAAACCAGGATAAATGTCAATAAAAATCATCTTATTACAGAGTGAGAAAATCTTTTAGAGAAGGGATTAATACAGAATGTAGGAATAGCAGCATGTTTAAAACCCACAGATGGGCTTTAAAAGCCTGGAAAGAGTTTTGTGGAAAGAGACATTGGTATCAATGCCAGCTCCTTCCATCCCCAAGGCAGGGAACTACTGCATATGCTCTGCAGACAGAGGGAGAGAGGAGCAAACACATTGTGAAACAACTGAAGGAAGCAAAATCTGAGAGGAAGGCAAGGTGCAGCACCAGCCTGTGAAGTACAAAGAGACAGAATATGAAGAAGAAAGTCAATTAATGGCTTTGAGGAGATGAGAAACAGAATGAGATTCTTTTAACAGCAGACATGACAACACAGAATCCTACCTGACAATTCCTTCCTGTCCTTTGTTCTTTACAACAATTGGGCTTTAGAACATTTCATAGAAAAACTCTACTGGTCAGTAAGCAAATCATAATTGCTGTTTCTCTGACTGAGCTATTCGCAGGTGTGGTTTGCAAATCACACCCACGTACCAAAGAGATCAGTGAGATTAGCAACAGACATGTCTTGATATGTATAAAAACCCCCCAAACAACCCACAATGAGAAAACGGAAGTGCAGAGAAATTATATAATGTCCCCTAGGCTAACTCTGCATATGACTAGGGCAAAGATTTCTCTGGTGAGAGCTCTGACAAGCAGGCCATGCTACAAGCCCACAGTCAGAGATAATAATTGAGGGCAGGAAGTATTTATCATGCACTTCAACTAAATTGGAGCTGCATAAGGGAAGGCTACACATACAGCTTAATCATCTCTATATAAAAGGACCCTTCTCCTTCAGTAAGCCTTGTGCATGCTCCATAGGAAAGATGATTTGTCTTTCCAAAAATATTTGTCATGAAGCTCTCTCTCCACTGAGGGCACATACCTCATACTCTTCAGCAAAACCACAGTTGGAGTCAGCTTGCTGCTTCTTAAAGTATGACTCAAAGTTCTCCACTTTAATCATTTTTGATCTAAAATGAGAAAAGCCATGTGTCAGCAACTGGTGTTAGGTAAATAAGCAATTAATTCAATTAATGTGTTAGAAAGTATGCTTTACTTACTTCTTGATTCTTCAGGAGAGGGTGAGGGGAAGAGAAAAAAGGCTGATTAGACACATGCAGTTGTATTTTTCATTATGTGAATCTAAGACTGAAAGCAGAATTAGTTGCAGCCACAAAATGGTGCATTTACAGGGGACAGGGTATCAAGCATAGCATTTAACTGCTCTGTTAAATCAAGGAGAGAACATGCATCCTTCAGCAGAGGAACATCACATAATGTGTCAGATAGCTGCTTACTCCCACTGGATCAACCCCACCGCCTGGTGCATTTTATGCCAACCATCAAAGTCTACAGAGGTGGGATTCCATGGGATGTTCTAGCCATGGCTTTCCACCAGCACAAAGATTGGTGCCAGAACCAATAACATGATTCAGTTGCAGTGCCTGTGACTTCCAATACATTGTGGTTACTCCCTCCACGGCCAGCTTTTACAATTACAACATTATCTGGATGAGTGGCTCAGCATAAAGTAGTCATTTAAAAAAAAAAAAAAGAAAAAAAATTCAGCCCACAGAACGTATTTTGCCTCTTTGCATTTTTATCAACAATTTGGACTGTTCCCTCAATGAGCATGAAGCCTGTGCTTCATTCACATATCCTGTGAAAAACATGGTTTTTCAAAACCATGTGGAACACTGGTGTGTCTAATAGCCAATCATGAAGTGAACACTCAGATCCCTGTGGTGGCTCTAGAAGTCTCAATCAACATAATTACTTTTAGTCTGCATGCTGGCATCTTTCAGTTCCACGAGGAATTAATACTTCAAAATTATCTATAAAACTGCATAGAAAACAAGTATCTGAGTTCTGAGTAAGTTTTGCAAATATCACTTGAGCTCAGAAAATACCATGAGAAAAGATATGGACTTACTTAATTGGAGAAAAAGACACCTCAGTATTTCTTTTATCTTTCCTATGAGATGAAAGAAAACAACACAATAGGGTCACAGTAGAATTCAATGGGATTTACATTACATTTTTTATCTATTTCCTGTGCCTGTTGAGAACAATTTATTTTAAAGCATCTTATTCTGTGAAAAAAAAACAAACAAACTCCTGAGGCAAACTTTTACACCAAAAATTAAACAAAACAAAAAAATAAAAAAAAAACTTCATCCTTTTTTTGGTGATGTTGTGTAATGGGACTGCTTCTTTCTGCAGGAACCAGAACCTAAAGCCTGGACACTAAGCACATATTTTGGTAGAAGATGTACACCTGAAGGATCTGACCACTAACTGATATCTCAGGAGAACTGCTGCTAATCCCAGAATTCCTACAGGAAGTGTTCAGTGATGTGTCAGTCATTCAGTGGTAGCTGAATGAAAAGAAATGTTGCTGTCTTTAAAGGAAGCTTTTCACATGGTTGTACACGGCTATTGGACGCAATTGTAAAAATAACAGTTAATCAGAGCAACTAAGAAAACTGGACTAAGGGCTCTACAGCTAACTCCACAAAAAGGGTGTATTACATGTTCAGAAGTAGGAAAAAGCCTTTGTGCACTCTTACATCCCAGATTATTTGAACAAGATTGGAAACTGAGAGACCAAACTCATCAGCTTCTGGAAATTCCAGAACAGAAGTTTCATGTGACAGGCCATCAAGCAATTAAAAAGAATGACTGATGGATAATTTTAAGATCAAGCCATCTAAGGTACAATTATACCAAATTACTTTTAGCACAATAATTTGAGATGTTTGCTCACTTGTGACTGAATTATTTCATCACTACTCATGAATGGTGAGGCACTGGAAGAGGTTTCCAAGAGAAGCTGTGGGTGCCCCATCCCTGGCAGTGTTCAAGGCCAGATTGGGTGAAGCTCTGAGCAACCTGGGACAGTGGGAGGTGTCCCTGCCCATGGCAGGGGGTTGGAACTGGATGATCTTGAAGGTCCCTTCCAACCCAAGCCATTCTATGATTCTATAATTCCAGTCTATGAATTAAAATTTGTTTAGCTCTTCTCATTAGTTTGTAGCTATGGGCTTAAAGTTATTAAACAAGTAGTTTGATGCTTCAACTCTAACCTGTAATACACAAACAACATTTTAATACAATATATTTTAAAACATCTTGACAGCCATGTATCATGACAGACAGAGCCCTTTTTAGGAGAAAGACTAAAGTGAAACACTGGTGCTCGTCAACACAACCAATATAGCAAAAAATACACATTACCTTCTCCTTCTCCAGAATATGAATCCCCCTATAGCAACTACAGCAAAGATAGCCAAGAGGCATCCAATAACCACTCCAGCAATAACACCTGATAAAAGAAAAAAAATATTACTAATTTTCTTCTTCAAAAACTTCTAGCTGAATCAACATGCTACAGCAGAACCTTGCAAGTGACTAACCAAGCATGCTCCACTCTACTAAAAAAATCTTGTCTTTACTGTCCTTTGGCAGTATTGAAATCTACGGAAATCTCATTAAAATAATAACCAGAGAACGTTAAATTAATATAAAATTGGGATCAAAGGACCAGTATCTGCCTTTCAATACACCTGCTTCTAGTTTAACAGAACTGTGAGACCATCAGTTGCTATTTGCTACTTGTTATACTATACCAAAGTCTCATTGTGTCATCAAATCCCTTGCAGCATGCCATGGCTTTTGGCTACTCCTGCAGCGGAATCTTACAAGGAAAAAAGGGATCACCCACAGAACTAGCAAGGTTTGAATTCATAGAGCAGTGCCACTGCAAAGCTAGAATGAAACAGTTCACACAAAGAAACCAACAGGTGTTTTGGTATTATGAAACTTGCCATAATTAAGGAATCTCCACATACCACATATGTGCCAAGCCACCAATCCTATATTTGACATTAACTATACCTGGATCCTGGGGTAGTAAAACAGGTTCAGAACAGGGTGAAAATGACACATAACTATCTTTCCCCTCAATCACGTCAGCCATAAAGGTTATATTAGTGAAACCTGCAACACATGCCCTGTTGAAAAGGAAGGAATAAAAAAAAGACAAAATCAGGTACATTGCAGGGTTTTATCAGCCTTTAACAAGATCTGTAATCTTTCCATTAGATAATCTTCTAGATTTCAACAGCAGAAAACTTAACAAAGGAGTGGATTGAATAAATACCTGTAGGAACGAAGAGGGATCAATGGTCCATTTTCATAGCCATGCATTGTGTTTCCCTTGCCTACACTAATGATGTTTTTACCATTCTGAGAATGGGAAGAATGTGATTCTGCCTGCTCTGTTTTTATGACATACGTAACATAGGCAGTTGTCTTCTTCTTCTTGAAATCTTTGTATGTGTTGTTCAATTTAGACTTCAAAGACTCAGAACCTTCAGGAAAAAACAAGAACATGTATATAATTCATCCCCTGGTTTTGTATGAATTGGTACAGTGGCTGAGATAGTCACATTAACTGCAGTTGTCATTCCTCTGCAAGTATTGCCTGAAATGAAAGGCTGAGAGCAACAGATAATCTCAGAAACCTCTTCTACTGCAGCGCAATCTACTGCACCACCTCTCCCCACTGTTATTTGTTTTAATTTGCTATTGGTTTTACTTCTACCATGTATAGTGGAGCTTCTGAATAAAGGTACATAAGTGTTGGAACCAGGCATCCTCATGGACAGACTTCACCAGCTGAGTCAGCTATAGCTATATGTGTTCTGTCAGTTCTTGTATGTAGAGTAAAATGGTGTAGAAAAAAATCCATCAATATTTGTGCTACCCAAACAGCATCAGCACTCATTCAGGGTGACACTAAACTTGTCCTGACCTTGTTCCATCCCACAAGAAGTCTCAAACCTATACTGTAAGAGATGAAAGAGGTAATTTCTACCTTTCCTTGACATAGACAAGCACTGGACAAACAAATGGTCAGAACAGTTCCCCTTCAGAAGATTAAGAACAGGCTACCACAGTGAGCCAACAGCATTTGCAGAAAAGCATCATTTTACAGTGTCTGGTCTTACAGCAGATGAACCCTAGAACCCTGAGGCAATTATACAGTTGAGGCACATGAAGTAATAATAAGAGGTAATAAGCAAAGTCAACTTACCAGTTGTCCCAACAATTCAAGAGGAAGCCAACTGACAAATCTTCCCAGTGTTGAGGGAGGACAAAGAATCTCACTCTTTTGAGAGAAGTTTGCTCTCTACTGACTGCCTTTATGAAGCTAAAAGGTCTTACTAAAAGTGGGTATAGTACTGAATTCACCTTTAAAAAGGAGCAGCCTTGCAGGAGGCTCTGAAAGGTGGAAAAGCTCTGGGAAGTTTTCTAGAGCGATGCAGACAATGGTTGATCTACCACCTAGCAGCAAAGCTCTCCTCAGCTGTAACTCTGCAGTAACACAGTGCAAGAAAACTCTTTTAAAGCACTAAGTTGGTCTCATTAAAAGCAGATGAGGTTGCAATTAACTCGGCTGCCTAAAAAGGGGTGTTCAAGACTACTTGAGATATGTCCTGTCTTGTCCCTAGCTTCCATTCCAACAGGATGTACATCCCTGGTTAAAACCACAGCTCCTTGTAGATGCTTTGAATACCACCCTACAACATTTCAAACAGCTTTAGACACCATTCCTTACACAAAAGAATTAAGTTTCCTATGTCTATCCTAAAGGTAACCATGACTGGTTTAGAACAGAGAAACACATCTCAAGAATATTGGTGCTACTTCAACAATAAAAGCTGAAGAGATGCTTGGCTGTTAGGCTGTCTTCTTCTCCCATCAAAGCACTCACTCTACATTACAAATGTGGGCAAACTTCTTCGCTTATTTCTCTCAGTCACATCCTACAAGTCCGCCTTGAATACCTTCCAATCCAAACCACACAGAAGAACGCACCAAATCTCCTTGTGAATAACCAGGACTGGCTGAAGTTACAGCAGAGCTGCATGCAAGAGACTGGCATTCAAATCAGCAATTCTGGGGCAGATGAGTAGTCACATGAAAAATAAGAAATTTCTGCACTAATGTGATGTAGCATTATATATTTACAAATATACACACAAACATGCATTTCTTGGATGTATATTGCAAGGAAAACTGCTGAAGGAAGATCTAGACTCAAAATTCTGCAAAATTAATTTCCAGTGTTGTAACAGAGGATAAGCATGAATGTCAACTCCCACTTAGTAAAAACTGTTTCCATCAGGCACCTTATTCCCCCAGTGCATTGGCAAAAATGAACAGTTGTTCAAGTGGAACCTATGCTGCAAAACTAAGTTCCCTAATTTAATGATTTATCAGTAGACATTCACCTATCAGAGACATTTCTCAGTTCTGGTGCTTTAAATAGACCAGTCTGATATGCCACCCTCTAGTTTTTTATGGCATTTAACTTCCATTAATGCTGTCTATGATATTTAAGCCTTGCACCCACATCCCATCTCTCTTAGTTAAAGTGTTTTGAGTAAAATCAGGAAAAAAGCTCTTTTCCTGTTAGGACCTTACTGCAGGCATCTTTCAGCTGAAGAAGGAAGGGGGGAAAAAAATTCCATATTCCAAAGCTGTTTCTATTAGCTGCTCTGAAAATTATTCTGTGAGGAAAGAAAAGATACTAAACAATTTTGGGGAAGGGAATCACTGGCAACTCCAGGTGGCAACAGCAGAAGGGCAATACATATGAGATTTATGTACAAAGATTAGTCAGGCAGGAAAAGACTGAGTGAAAACAGGCACCTTTTGAAAACAAGGAATGACCTGACTTCAAGCAAGCAAGGTATTTGCCTCAATTTCTGAAAAGCGATTGAAAATTCTGAGTCTGCTTTTTCTTTATCTGTTTAACACCTGCTTAGAGTGTAAAACATAATGCTATCTGGTAAATTGTTTCAGCTACACGATAATATCATAAGAATCTTACTTTGATCTTCTGTTGTAATCATTATTGCATAGGCTTCTAATGGACCATTCAGTGGATCAAAATCAGAGAATTCAACAGACAACGAGCTGTGACTGACGACCTTGACTGAAGGAACTTCGGTTGGCGGAGGTGGGTCTATCAACAAAAATATTTTTTAGTACATTAAGCACTGATAGAAGTTTTCCAAACAAGAAAAGGCTGTGATACCAACACTGTTCACATAATGCATATTTACTGTGCATCACATTAGATTACGAATTAATGTAGTGTTTTATTCATAACTGGCAGGCTGACAATGTAGTGCATACCAAGTCTGGCATTATGCAATCATGAAGTTAATATTTGTGTCCTACAAGTATCTTTCATTCTCAGATCTTAGTGCTTACCAGTAATGCTGGTGTGACACAAGTTGTCCACTGGAGAGCTTTCAGAGCCACTTGAAAGAGTTATGATAGTAACATTGTAGGTACTGAAAAAATTTAAATGTGCTGTTTGGAAGGTTTGCTCAAAGCCTTCTACTGTGCAGCGTGGAGCCAATTCTTCCTCTGAAGTATTTATATTAGATATACTAATTCTGAAGCCAGAGTTGTTACCAAAAGGACATTTCCACTTCAGCGTTAGGAAAGGCTGCTTGGCCACTGGTTCACACTGAAATGAATTCACTGAGAGAGTTACTGCCAACAGAAAAAAAAGAATAATGAAAAAGGAGATGTAAGAAATCAAGCCTTGACCATTAACAGCAAAAGCTGTCTATTTGTATGTTATGCATAGAAATGCTTGCAAACCTTCAGTATTCTCTTCCCCTTTTAAAAAGATGCCTACATGGCACCTACTGCCTACACAAGGACTTGCTACCCTATGAGGAAGACAACTATTTAATACAGTACACAGACCGATTCTGTGTTCTTTACCTCCTCTACAGACATGGTTACTGAGAAAATTTAGGCTGAGTATCAAGATCAGCAATATTTTCAAAATACTGTTCAACCCTTGAACGCATTACTCTAAGAACATTTTTAGAGCAGTATGTAGACTGACACTAAATTCCTCTATAAGTATGTACAACTCCAAGCGGCCAGGAAATAAGAAAATTAATTTTATCTCTGTGCATTAAGAGCACAGAAGTAGCCATTCTTAAAAGCAGCAACTACAACAAGTCAGTTTGGGTGAGAGTCTTCTAGGACCGGATATAAAAACTACAACCTTATGACCAGATACAGGAAGATACTTAAAAAGTAATGTAGCAGAAACACTGAGAAGAAAGGTTCCTCTAAACATCTTGTAAAAGTTGGCCTTCAGGACCAAAATAATTATAAATCTACAATTACAACATGCATCAAATTTATATCCTCTCTTACTAAGGAAGTATTTGGTACTTTCATATACAGGGGTTATAGACTCATCTATTAAATTATTTTGTTGTTAGAAGGGGTATTATTTTAAGAAACTAAGTAGAAGCACAATTGTGTACCAGAAGAAACAGATTTAGTAAAAATACATGTGAGTGACTGGGACTTACTTCTACTGTATTTTATAAATATTTTTCTTCAGTAACACTGTCACCTACTCCTACAAATACCATGAAATTATAGGAGATTACACACAAACTCTGGAACAACACCTCTGACACTTGGTGACAATGTCTCCTGGTTTCTAGAGGAATCACAACTTTTGATCTCTATCCTGTAGGAATAGTTAGATGAAGTATCATCAGTGTTCCATAGGAAATGTCACAGACCAGCATACTCCACCCCAATATTGAAGAAAAAGCTGGGCTCTGTGAAAGTCATGAGGAGACTACAGAAAATCTCAGGAATATTTTGTGACAGACAGAAAAAGCAAAGGCACAACCATGCTTCCATTTTTTTAATCAGACAGAATTTTGAGTAGCCAAACAGCACTTTCAGAGTACCAGCAACTCTCCAAGTTCATCCTAGAGCCCGTTCGGAAAACCCATTTGGGAGCTCTGGGCCAGATTTATTTCACCTCAGTCAAAATGGGAGAAAACAAAGGAAAGTACATGACAACAAGAAGGAAAACAGTCATAATGCCTAACATAAGGAATGCAGGAGTAACTCAGCCTTCTCCTATCTGCTGATGGGCTGAGCAAAGCAGCAAGGCTGACAGCCACACCATCCAGTGCGGCCCAAGACCAGCTGCATCCATGGGCCCTCCAAAGGGGGAAATTCCCCAGGCACCATGCACACTCTGTGGAAGGCCTCCCAAGTAAGAACCCGAGAGCCTCACCCAGGAGAAATAGAGGGCAAGAAAATCCCCTGCACAGATCCCCCCTTTCAACACATTACCATTGCTGACTCCAGGAAGGCTGTGTACAGCACTTCTGCCTAACACAATACTGTATTTCAAACCCTGGGCAGGTGGGCAGAGCTCTGTGCTGCACAGCAAAGCACAGACCACCAGCAACAACAATGCAAGAAACTGTGACTCACTTGTATACAGGTCTATGGACCTTCCTTCTCCTTCTGTCTCGTTATCAGCTGCTACAGCAAATACTGTGAAGTTGTACAGGCTCCCAGGGATTAACTCAGTAATTTCTGCTTTGGTTTCACTGAATGTCCAGTTCTTCACAAATGTACCATTTACAACCTCTATCCTGTATGTGTAGGAGTTGGAAGCGCTGTCATCCGCCACCCATTTTAAGATGACAGAAGTTACACCAATGGATTCTGCCTTGAGATCAACAACCGGGCTGGGCCCTGTGAAAGGTAAAGCAACAACTCGTTAACCTGCAAGAACAGCTGCTCACAGACATGGAAACAAGAAACACAACCACATCAGGGCTGCACTTCCCTCACACCACTCATGGTACAGTGTGGAGGAAGCCCAGTCCTCTGACAGGCTCCCTCCCTGGAGATCTGTCCCCTAATATAAGACAAAACTACTTAGTCATGGTGACTAAGCTGTGGACCCCTTCCTGCTTTGGGACCCCATGTTATCTCCCTGTTAACTACTGGTCATTTTATCCCAGTCTCAGACTATTGGTCCCTTTCCTAGTTCTCCCCCTCCCAACAAAAAGCCCAGCTTTTGCCCAGTTCAGTGGAAGATCATTGCTGGCTCCCTTCAGTGAAGCCTCCAGTAAAGGACCCTGTGGAATACTACACAGCCTCCCATCTCTCATCTACAGCTGGGGTAACCCATGAGCAGAGCTGGGCTGATCTGAGCTGATCACAGAGCAGAAATCACTTCTAAAAGAGCTGATCACGTGAAGCTTGAGGATGCACTCCTAAGGGTTACCCCAGCTGGAAGCTGCCCAAGACTCCCTGCACAGCCACTCCTTCTGGGACCCCTATCCAGGATAGCTGGCAGCAGAGCTGGGGGTTGGACAGACCCCCAGTCCCAGCCACAACCATCTGGAGTGCAGGAGCATCCTATGGACAGCTAAGACAGAATTGATGAAAAGTAACTTTGAGTGGAATTCATCTCCTTTTGACACTCTAAAGCAGAACACATCATTACAATGCCAGAGCTCCCAGGATTTTGCTCGGAAATTCAGAGATGTTGGTCAGGAGACATAAAAAGTTGTATCTCTGCACTGGAGGACTGGAGAAAGGAGACTATGGTCTATCTAAGTCCAGCAAAAGGTAAGGAATTTCAAATATCACTGAAAGAGAAACAGAGGTGATGAAGGGTGGCAAAGAAGCAGCTTGCCTAGATCATTCCATGAATGCATTCCTGAGCCGCTGTTATTTCAAGTTCATTCCGCTCCAGCCACAGGGCCCCATATCACAGTATCTCTATATGGGAGCCCTTTAAAAGAATGTTCTGAGGCCCTGATCCTCCACGAAGTGAAGGCAACAGATGCCCCCACAAAAATCCCAGGCCAGAGAGGAAGTTCTTGGGAAGAGTTCATTGTGTCACAGGCTTTGGTAACCAACTTCAACAATCATTGTTTTTGAGGTGTTTATTTTACTCTGGTTTTTCAAAGAAGGCTCTATCTCTTTCACACAAGTATCTCTGGACTGTAGGCAGGCAAAGCAAACACCTCTGCCTGCAACACTATTAAATTTCAGGCCACAGGCAGGTGGGAAGAACCTTGCGCTGCACAGCAAAGCACAGACCACCAGCAACAACAATGCAAGAAACTGTGACTCACTTGTATACAGGTCTATGGACCTTCCTTCTCCTTCTGTCTCGTTATCAGCTGCTACAGCAAATACTGTGAAGTTGTACAGGCTCCCAGGGATTAACTCAGTAATTTCTGCTCTGGTGTTACTGGATGTCAGGTTCTCCACAAATGTATCATTTACAACCTCTATCCTGTATGTGTAGGAGTTGGAAGCGCTGTCATCCGCCACCCATTTTAAGATGACAGAAGTCACACCAATGGATTCTGCCTTGAGATCAACAACCGGGCTGGGCCCTGTGAAAGGTAAAGCAACAACTCGTTAACACCTGCAAGAACAGCTGCTCACAGACATGGAAACAAGAAACACAGCCACACCAGGTCTGCACTTCCCTCATACCACTCATAGTCCAGAGAGCAGGAGGCACCCCAAAAACATCACCAGGCACTCCTGGAGGCTTTTGCATTAATAGCTGTGTAACAAGAAATTGACAATCAGCCATCTCAAGCATGTCTCATTTTCCTTTCACAGCAAGAGGGACACAGCCCACCCCAGTGCCACCACCTGCAGGGTTTCAACTGGCAATCCAATAAGGTAGACAGGAAGGAGAGAAGAATCCCCCTATTCTTTTCGCATCTTTTAAAGAAGGCAGTTAGCCATTACAGACAGGCAGCACAGGAGAGTCTTTTGGGCATTTACTGGTCAGCTAGGATCATACATGCAGGCACATTTCAGGAAAACACAGATTACAAGAACAGTAATCCATTTTTCTTCAAATGCACTCTGTGGAATGATCAGGCTGGGCTACTGCCTTGCAAGCCAGCTCCAAAATGGTCCCTCCAACACCACATGTCAAGACTTATAGTACTCAGCATGGCAAGGTGCTGGATGGTCAAAGGAGTTCTCCTGCTCTAGCACTGCCTGAATCTCTCTCCTGGCTGCACCACAATGGCAGCTATAGGCCCCCAAATCACACAAGTTCACTTGGTACAATATGCTCTTTGTGGGAGCCCCTTAAAATGACAATCTCAGGCCCCCATACTCTAGGAGACAAATGCAAATGCCTCTTTCCCAAATTTGCAAGAGATCAGTGCTCACAGAAAAGTCTCTTCTCCGATAATCTTGGAGCAGGCTTTACCAACAGCTTTCTACCAGGGCAATTCTGCTTCTACACTAACATCCAATGCTTGAAGATTGGCCATCTCCAGCTCCAGGATGGAATCATCACCTCTGCCTGCAACAGTCTTAAATTACAACCCTTGCGGGGGTGAACAGAGCCTCATGCTGCACAGCAAAGCACAGACCACCAGCAACAACAATGCAAGAAACTGCGACTCACTTGTATACAGGTCTATGGACCTTCCTTCTCCTTCTGTCTCGTTATCAGCTGCTACAGCAAATACTGTGAAGTTGTACAGGCTCCCAGGGATTAACTCAGTAATTTCTGCTTTGGTGTCACTGAATGTCCAGTTCTTCACAAATGTATCATTTACAACCTCTATCCTGTACGTGTAGGGGTTGGAAGGGCTGTCATTCGCCACCCATTTTAAGATGACAGAAGTCACACCAATGGATTCTGCCTTGAGATCAACAACCGGGCTGGGCCCTGTGAAAGGTAAAGCAACCACCTGTCAAAAATAGAAATAAAGAAAGAAGAGCCACAACCACATTTCCCTATTCCACACAGAATAAGCATCACTTGTAGACAAGCATAATTTCCCTGTTTCAGGCATTTACACTGAGGCATCTCTGGAAAGGTCATAGGAGCTTTGGGAGATACTCTATTTCATTTCATATGCAACAATTACTTGTTACCACAGTGGTTTTCCAGAAAGAGAAACAGATGGAAATCAGGGAAGGAAACAGTCCAAGCTGATCTTGATCTCTTAACTCAAAATCATGCCCATGAGTCTTAATATGAGACCCTCAGCCTAAACTCTTCTCAATATCAGGACAAAGAAATGGGCTGCTTGAGCAGGTCTAACAGCTTATCAGCACCTTAGGGGGCTGCATCTGCAAGCCCGACTCAACACCAATTCCAGACAGACAAAACTCACCTCAGGCAACTTAGACAAGCTTATAGACTCAGCAGCAGCTCCAAGACACACTCTTCAAAACTGATCTGTAGGGACATTGCCTGTTCTCTTTCTATCATTTCTGAGCTACATGCAAAAGCAGTGTCTGCTCCTAGCCCATATATCTGGTCTGGGAAAAGGGTGCCCTGGCACAAAGCCGACAAAATTGGCACCACATTTGACAATGCAACCCCAGGAAGTGAGTCAGCCACAGCCCACAGGACCCTCAGGCCCCAGACTCTGCAAAGAACTCAAAGCAATTTTTAAGAACAAAAAACCTCAGTGACCATGGCACCACATCCTTGCACATCACATCTTTTGTGAGTGGGAGCACAACCCACTCTGAGAGGTGCTGTGAGGGATCTACTCAGCCCTCAAGTATAAAGGAAAAGTCATGCTGTAGTACCAGCAGGGTCTCTACATAGTCTCAGACAGATATGCTGATGAAATAACTGATTTACAGGTGGCACATGCAAGCACAGAGATGATTTCACTCCTTTTGCAAAAACTGCAGTTGCAGTCATTGCATGCTGCATTTATGCACAGACAAAGCTGGAGCAAAAAAGCAACGTCACAACGAGAAAGAGGATGAAGCTGGAAACCCAAAGTAAGAAAGCAGGGCAATTTGGTACAGATGGCATGGTTACGTGCAATTGGAGGCACCATTTCCTTACTTGTATACAGGCCTGTGGACCTTCCTTCTCCTTCTGTCTCTTTATCAGCTGCTACAGCAAATACTGTGAAGTTGTACAGGCTCCCAGGGATTAACTCAGTAATTTCTGCTCTGGTGTTACTGGATGTCAGGTTCTTCACAAATGTATCATTTACAACCTCTATCCTGTATGTGTAGGGGTTGGAAGCGCTGTCATCCGCCACCCATTTTAAGATGACAGAAGTCACACCAATGGATTCTGCCTTGAGATCAACAACCGGGCTGGGCCCTGTGAAAGGTAAAGCAACAACTCGTTAACACCTGCAAGAACAGCTGCTCACAGACATGGAAACAAGAAACACAACCACACCAGGGCTGCACTTCCCTCACACCACTCATGGTCCAGAGGGCAGGAGGCACCCCAACAACATCACCAGGCATCTCTGGAGACTGTTGCATCAGTGGGCAGCTAAGAGAGAACTGATGACAAGCCATTCTGAGTGACATTTACCTTCCTTTGACAGCCCAAAGGAGAAACTTTGGTCACCACTGAAGCAGAGCTCCCAGGGAACCCAGACAAGTGGACAGGAAAGGGATAGGTATGGTTGGCAATGCAGGCAATTTCAGTTTGGTTTATCAGTTGGTTTTTAGTTTGTTGTGTGGAGTTGTTGTGGAGGATTTTTTGTTTTACGGTGGGGAGTTAGGGAGTTTGGTGTTTAATAAGTAAATAAATAAATCAGGGCTATGTTTCTTCTATACATGAACCACTCATTCTTAGCATCTGGCTCAGGTAAGGCTCCTATTAAATTACAACCTCAGGAGGGTGGGCAGAGCCTGGTCCTGCACAGCAAAGCACAGACCAACAACCAACAGCAATGCAAGAAACTGTGACTCACTTGTATACAGGCTTATGGATACTCCTTCTGTCTCATTATCTTCTGCTATAGGAAATACTGTGAAGTTGTACAGGCTCCCAGGGATTAACTCAGTAATTTCTGCTTTGGTTTCACTGGATGTCCAGTTCTTCACAAATGTATTATTTACAACCTCTATTCTGTATGTGTAGGGGTTGGAAGCGCTGTCATCCACCATCCACTTTAAGATGACAGAAGTCACACCAATGGATTCTGCTGTGAGATCATAAATTGGGCTGGATCCTATGAAAAGAGAAAAAAAAAATTAACCTACAGGAGTATTTGCTGACAAACATTCAGCTCCTCCCTGCCATAACAGTCTCTGTAAAACAGAAATCAGCCTGGGAGAACAACCAAGCAACCTTTCTCTACTGCAAGGCACACTTGCAAGCTCTGCCACCTACTCCATCTCCTCAAGCTTCACTTCACCTCAAGCAGTAAAGCTGTCTAGATGCAGCAGTGATTTCTGTGCTGCCTCAGCTGTGAGCCTTATGCAGTGTGCTGAGGAAGACTGGGACATACAAGACACTTTAATTTTTTCCTGAACTGGATATCCCAAAGAGAGGAGCCTTTCTAGCTGCAAGATTCACATACCTCTCCTATACATTCATGACACAGAACATTCTGTACTAGGAAGAAGACTTCAGCTTCACCCCATCCCTTATGCATTTCAAATCTGTATGTCACAATGAGCTGAACAGTTAACCTGTAACCTCAAAAGCCATAATAAGCAGGGAAGGGAGCCCAAGTCTAACATGGACAAAACTATTCCAAGGTCATGAAGCAATCACAGTATGAAAATGCACTCCCAGTCAGGTGTGCAGACACATTTCTTGGCCTCATTCTCTACTGCAGTAAAGTAGTTGGATCCATGGCCCTGCAATGCTCACACTCTTAACTTGAGTTCAGGCTAAAAATGCTATCACAATACTGAAGTACAAAACACCCCAAAGATCCACATCCCAGTCACACTGCAAGCCACAAACATGTTACAGTGAGATCACCTCTTGTCTCATCAGCGAGTGATGCAGCCCTGATCACTCTTCCACCTGCAGAGGTTCTGTTCCCACTTGCAGAGTTTACTGACAAATCATCATTACTACTGGCTGCTGGTTCTGCAGTTACATTTTTTGAGCTGCAATCCTCAGTGCCTGAAAGAAGAACACAAAACTCTTTCTTTACAAAACTTCTGGACTTCCCATTTGCAGAAGTACAGTCAGTTACAGATATCATGCACAGATCCACAGTCACTTCTGTTTTCCCAGTTCTACAGAAACCTCACTGCACATTTCCTGGTTTTACCACTTTTCCTGGTTTCACCTCTTAACTTCTGTGAGATTATTTGAACTAGATTCAAGTGATTGCCACATTATTTCAGCCATCCACTGAGTCTACACATGGATTGGATGAAAGCTATTAAGACCTCTCTTTTCAGTATAATTTTGTTTGAAAGCAGTTAAAACAACATGCAGCCAACACTGTGTGTGTGTGTTTTCTGCATGTTTTATCAGAAGTTTTGTTTAACCCGGCATAGCAATTTTATCTCTCCCCCTCAGCATATTCCCCTCTTCCCCTCTCATGCTCGTGCTCCCACAAGTAAGGAAGAAACATGGCTCTATACCTAGAGCCAGAAATATTAGATCAATTTTACAGGCCGAAGCATAGAAAGAGTTGATTCAGACCCTAAAATTTAAAGGCTAACTCGTTTAAGTCTGATGTTCATTATTAAGGTAGAACTTACTTGCACACTCTTTCAGAAATTTCTGCCGCATGAAAATGTATTATCTTGGCCAGTACAGCAGTTCTAGACTCACTTCAGAAATTCTTTAAAGGCATCACCTTGTGTGTCTTTTGGTTTTGGGGTTTGTTTGGCTTTTATTGCCTTTAAGTATATTTTCCTATCTTTCAAACCATACAACACCTGCACTTGATTTTACCAGACCCCTCTACAAACTGAAAAGCAAAGGGAATTAAGCACAGATTTTTATTTTTTTAAAATCCTTAAATGCATTGTAGCTATTACAGTCACTAAAATAACTAAGTACATATTTTTAACTGCCATTTCTAAAACTTCTTTCCAGGAAGCTTTTTTTAAAAAATACTTTTCTGATACTACTTCATCTTTCTCAAAAACAACTAAGATAAGGAGAGTCATATTTAAAAAAATAAAAAAAAAGCATGCAACAGAATGATACTTACAAGAAATTGTACATCTGACCTAGAAAACAAAAAGAAATAATAGCAATTAAAATTACTGGAAGCTCAAATAAAATAAGGACTGGTTTAATTAACACAGCAGGCAAGAAATCTGTTTTAAAGAGTCCAGATTTTTCAATCTGCAAAAGACACACATAAAATTCTATTAACATAAAAATAACACCAAGAAAATACACCAAACTAGTAGGAAAAAAAAAATCTAAGCATGATGATAAAATGTTAGTTTCTACACTCTAAAAAGAACTAGTTTATATTGTCAACAACAAAAAGCTTGAATAACGTAAGCTGATTATTTTGCACAAATAAATTTATAAACCAAACCTTTAAAATCTTAGTTAAAACACACTTTAGTTAGTACTCTTGAAGCCATCCCACAAAAAAATGGCAAATATCAATTAGGTCTTTCTTATTAGTAAGATTTTTCCTTTCATAATTTTTCTATATAAACCTTCATATTGCTTCTCATAGATGATTGTTTTCCACTTTCTGAACCAAACACTGGGTAGTCAAAGCTCCAAACACCTGATACGTGATCTGAAATCCAGTTTACACAGTGCACACATTCACAATATATCAGCAGTTGCCATTTAACTGCAGCCTGCAACTCCTCTGCTGGTAATACTGATAAACACACCAGAATTTTGCTTTGAGGATGATTTTTAGTCTTCAAACTTTGTACTTTACTTCCAAATAGCCATTTCCCTTCTTGTTGGTGTGAGAATTGGCCCATAAATTGGTCTCTCGAGGTGGCACCACAGAATGATGCTTAAAGGAGTGAAGTAAAAGCCCCAGACTGAGGTCAGTAGGAAGCAGTCTGATTTAAAGCACTTGGAACTTTTGTTTTTCCTGCCCCCATCCAATTTCTTAGCTGTTTGTGCAATTCCATGAGCTAACTCAAAACAAGCAGCTATCCCACAACACCCTAATGCTTGAATCCCAAAGCACTCATTCTCCCCCAAGCTGTCATGTTGCTGGTGCCACAAGGAGCTCCAGCAGCAGTAGCCCCTTGCACAGGTCCAAGCAGACACACCCTCAAAAAGTAGTCACAAAACACCAATAACTCTTATTCCTGTGATGGTCTCAGTGCCCCAGTAAGGAGAGTTTGGACAGTCTTAGGCAAAAAAAGCATCAAAGACCTAATGCCTGGTCTTCTGAAGCACAGCCCTACGGACAATGCAGAACACAACAGACATGACATGGGATGCAGATGTCCTACATACAAGTGTGAGGCTCCACCTCAACCTGAGCTTTTGAGAGCTTAGCCAAACTGCAAGGCTATTTTGGAAGTGAGAAAATATTTGCCTGCACTCAGGTCAAGAGTACTTCTGCATTCCTTCACAAAGTACCTGAGGAAGAAGAGCTCAAGAAGAAAACAGCCACTCTGAAGACACTCCGCTCTGCCGTGCAGTGTCCAGAGTACAACAGCTAAGCTGTATGGAAACAGCTGCTAAATAGTGAGCAAGAGATGAGATCCCCTGAAATGCAAGGCAATCTACAAGAAAAGCCAAAATGATGCCATGCTTATTAAGAAAGGGAATTCACAAGAAGAACAAAATCAACAAGAAACACCACAGGGCTAAGCTTCAGCGATTTCTGCAGCTCTACAGACAAAGAATCAAGAGCCTGACATCATTCACAACCCATCATCCTTCAGTTACTTTCTCTTCTGTAGAAGTGCCTGAAAATAAACTTTCTCATCTCCTTCTCCACAAATTTTGAGTTAGGGTCACAGCATCCTTCCTGAGCAACAGGAACAACATTGCATGTATTATATGACTGTGAGACAGGTATGCCACTGGCAAATACCCTGAACCCCTCATTTTTACTATCCTATTTCTTCCCTGCCAGCTCAAACAAGGAACATGTTGATTCCTGTTTTATGGGCATCTGAGCAATAGGCAAACGATCAAGCTATTAGAAATTTGGTTGTACTGTCACATGTGGGTTTTATTAAGGATGCTCGAACAACCTCAAAAAGGAAAGTTACACTAAAATTCCTGCCATGATTAATGAACTGCATCCCATCATTCTACTTGCTTATCACACCCTGGCAATACTCCCTCAAAATACCCTTCTGACTTTCCAGAACCCTATGTGCAAAATCAAATTCAAAAAAATCACATCCTGCTGGCAGCAAGCAGGCCTCCTTCTGAGACTCAAAACCATACAAAACAAATTATCCCATTCCCAAGCATCAGCCTGCCTGACTCAGTCACTCTGTGCTGTATTTTTCAACATCAGTCATGAACCAAACTGTTCTCTAACCTGATGTTATTACTTAGAATTTACACAAAGCATTTGTTTATAATTTCAGAGGATATTTGCACCGAACACCTGATTCTCCTTGTGTTTGCATTTAATACATCGTGAGCTCTGCCACCTCTGCTTTTCTTTCTCAATGACACAAATCTCTATTACTCATATATACAGTTGGTAATTTTTTTAACTGCTATGGAGCTTTGTGTAAGGGTGGAACATCCTTAACCAAGAAAAGACAGCAAAATGCTAAATAATGACCATTTCAACTGAAAAACAGGAGAGAAATGTATACACAAACCCATCAATGTCATCAGCTATGGCAAACAAAATTTTTTTGTGTGTCACACAGCCATGCTTAGGGCCTGATCAAAGGCTGTAGGTTCCAGGAGCTGAGGAATTCATTTGAACTTGCACAAGGTCTGTCCTGTGCTCCTTGTGTGAGCAGTTTACAACTGACCAGGAGCTGGTGGGGTTTGACACATACAGAATTCAGCACCAGCCTCCTCAGGCATACACTGGGTTGCCTAACTCATTACTCATGAGGCATCAGTCTCATGAGTAATCTTACCCAGGAAGAATTAAGGTATGGTGCAGGAAAACTTCTTAAGAAATAGTAAGTGACTGAGAAGACCGAATACCACTGATAATTGATAACTCAAGAGTAAGATATTTTCAGGAGCAGGATTTAAAACATGCCAGCTCTACATATACACTGGAGAGCCACAGGGAAGGCAGCAGTGCAGGACTTCAGCTCAGCCTGGCTCTGCTGCCAAACTGTGCCCTCTAATGGAGTTGGGGTTCCTGCACTGGGGAAAACCCTTGTGGACAGCAGCTCATCTACCTGCTCCAGTTTTCAAAACAAACAGCATGGTTTGGTTTATGTAAATATAAAGTAAGGCTGGCTAAACAGTTAAAGAGAGCAAACCAAAAAAATCTTCGCCAAAAGAACCCTAAACCACAAATCCTTTCCACGAACACCACTTGAGGTTACTGCTTACTGTTTCTGGTGTGCTCAGCACTGTGTGGCCTGTGGTTCAGATGCCAAAAAACAGGGAATTAATCGCACCCCTCTCAAAGCCGATGATCTTCCAAGCACATACCTTTGGATCTTATCATCTCCATCCATCCATCCTCTCAGGTTTGGAGGAGTTCTACAAAATACCACCAAGCTATCACAGTGGTATCCAAAATGCTTCTCAACACCCTTTCACCAAAGCAGCAGCATAATTAATATCACTGCCCCACTAGGCAGTACCCCTGACCTCACACCCTTTTCTCCCCCCTCTATGCCCACCTATGACTAGTTGTCCCACTCGTATAGCTGTGGGCTTCAGGACAAGCCACCACACAGCACCATCGTGATGGTTCTATGACTCCAGGCATGGCTTTGCTGATGCTGTCAGCCACCACCACTCAGCCACCAAACATTAACCAGCAAAGATGCAGTAATTTGGCCACTTACAGATCCCTCTCTCACCTCTGATATTTCCTACATAGCACAGACTTATTCAGGAAACATTCCCACAGAAAGCTTTTACTCAAGGTCACACAAAGTAAGTGAAAATCAAAATCAGGAAGCCCCACAGTAATGGAAATGCCCAAGTATTGCATCCACAGAATGAGCAATAGTTGCTGTTTTGCTAGGATTTTTAAGGCATCGCCTGCTATTCCACCCGGGGACATCTTTCCACTTCCCTGGGAGTGCAAAGTCTAAATCAGCTGGGAGTGACACCCTTCTGCTGGAGACTGTTGTCCTGCAGGAAGACAAGGTGGGTTTTGGAAAGATTAAATGTTTCTGCGTCTTGAAACCCATCTCAGGGCTGTTCCATCTCATTCATTTCCATATTATTTCCAAATTAATGAAGTTTGTAGGCTTACAGCACTGGGCAAGAAGAATGAGTTCACCTGAGTCGGGGCACAGATCTATGTGCTTAAACCTGCATGAACCTAGATGAACATGCCTTATCTGGACAATGTGTGGGTTCTGGGATGGAAAAAATATCATACTGGAAAATGAGTTAAAATATACTTGGGTAACATAATTGCCCTATTTTCCAATTCATTTGTAAAATGTCATAAATCTTCAACTGCAAAGAACTGCCCCGCATTTAAGCGGAAAACTTCAAGTGCAAATCATTACACTATTACAAAACACAGAATCATCAAGGCTGGAAGAGACCTTCAAGATCATCCAGCAAACTGTCAAAGCAGCACCACCACAGTCACCCCTAAACCATATTCTCAAGCACCACATCCAAACACCTCTTGCACACCTCCTGACAGCCTTTAATATATACAAAGATGTGCCAAGCCAAGAAAAGCAGGTGTTTTCCCCTGTGTTTACTGTCCAACAAGGAAAAAAGACAATGTGGATAAAGTCTGTGTGCTGAAGGAGTGCTAAGATAACACTTCAGTTACCAATTCCAGTGGCATTTGTGGATACTTAGCCCTCCCGTATCAGGGCCCTACTACCGAAGGAGGAAATAATCAACAGGAGACTAAGTCATAAGCTAACATTCAGTCATGTTACATAGTTTCATGGAAGAAACTATGAGTTTGGGGTTGGTTTTCTTTTTTTCCCCTTTCTAGTGTATATTTACTCTGCTAAACTCACTTTGACTGTAGTCCATAACAATTCTTTGTTTTGTCTTGTTGTTTTTTTCATTCAAATTAAATCTAGATGATCTCAATTACATGATGCATTCACTTCCAATGAAAAATGGAAAATATGCTGCAGCAAGT